GTAACTTGATTAGATCGTAAACCTGTAAAGTATCCCAAAATTTTCCATTAAAGACAATCTAATTACGAAATAACCATATTGTCCAAGTAATAACATAAAAAGCTAGTATCCATACCTTATGAAATAACCATATCTACCTGTTCATCTCCAATTAATTTCTTTTTTGCCAATTCTAATTTAATAGTAATTTTTTGCCACATCAATTGTTAGATGAAGACCTCAACTCTGTAAGGAGCATAACCAAGTTATATCTTCGACCATAGTTCCTTATTTGTAGATTATTGGTTACAGACAATTTGACAGAATGATTTAGATGAGAATTTACCACTTGATGTAACCTTTCAAATGATAACATCTCTAAAATTTTCACCAAGTGTAAACTTTTTTAGAATGCTCCACATCAGTGTTTATAGCTGAAATTCCAATCCAAAAAGATTTCTTCCGAGTTCAATTTCTATAAATTGCAAATGAGTAAGTTTAATCCCATGTTTCCTAATTTCAATACCACTACAAATGCTTTTTACCTTTGCCTTACACATCATACAACTAAGAATCTCTACCATTAGATTAAAAAGAAAGGGGGACAAAGGATAACCTTGTCTAAGGCCCCTTTGCAATTTAATAGGTTTTGTGGGAGTACCATTCAGTTAGATAGAAATTAAAGTAGAAGTAACACACTTCATAATCCATTATCGCCATTTAATTCCAAACACCATTTTGTCCATGGTGAAATCAAGAAACTCCCAACAAACACTATTGTTAACTTTGAAATTGACCTTAGTTTTGAAATGTCAAAATTCAGTGATTTAAATATGCCTTGGAATTAAAAAGAAATGATTTTGGAATGGAAGAACTTTCCTTTAAGTGTTTTAAAGTTGTTTGTGAAAAGCAAAATCAATTGAATGCTTTAAAACTAAAGTTCTAGCAAGTAAGAATCAACTTCTGAAAGTGAAACATCGATTCCTTGTAAAACAGAATCAACTTCTTGGTGACAAAAAAGAATCAACTTGTTAAAAAAGGAATCATCAATTTGAAGAAACACAAAACTATTGAAATGAAAGAATTGATTTTTGAAAAAGCAAAAGTTGATTTCTGAGAAAGTAGAAGCATAACGAAGAGCCATTTGATTGAAAAAATATACTTCTCAAGTATCCATTGATCAATTCATTAACTTCTAAAGAAGGCACAAATTGATTCTTGCAAGAACAGAATGCTCCAGACTTAAAGTGGGACAAAAAAAATTGACTACACAAGAATGCAATGATCGATTCCTGGCACACAGAAAGCATTAGGCTCAAAACTGAAGAAAAAAATGACCGAGGATACAAAAAAATTGACTTCTCAAATGGCTACTAATTGATTCTTATGGCATGACTAGCATGATTCAAGCAGTCCCAAAAATTCAAAAAGTGGCCTTATCCTTGCTCCAATGAGATGAAATTGAGAAAGGTTATAAATACTTTTCAAAAGGCCTCATTCAAAGAGAGAGGGAGCACATAAGAAAGAAAAGAGAGCAGAAACTCATTCCAAAAGGAGAACAAAGCTTTCATGTTAAAAAGTTTATTCCTTTCTCACTCTAAAACAAACTCTAAAAGCAAAGCATCCTTGTTTGAGCTTAAATTCTTTGATTCAGCTTCATCTTCTTGCACTTAAACTTAGTTGATTAGCCTTTTTAGAGGCATCAAAGCTTGTAATCCTCTATACAAAGGTTAAACCTCCTTGTAAAGGTAGAAAGGTTATATTTGAGTCATGAAAAAGTAGAATTGGTTATACCTCTATTGCAAAGGTAAAGAGGTTGTGCTTTAACCTTGAAAAGATAGTGACTTGTTAAGAAGTTGTGCTTGACCCTTAAAAGGTAGTTGCTTGTAAAGGCTATACTTGAATCTAGTTGAAAAAGACAATTGATAGTGGATCCAAACTCTTTGTGATATCAAGAGAGAGGATGCAGGCATTGAAAGGTCGAACCTCTATAAAAATCATAAATGAGTTTATTTCCCTATCCCTATACTTTACTTGCTACATATCTTGCTTGCTTATGTTTATATTGATTGTTGTTCAAGTTTTGTGCTTAAAGTTTTAATCTTTAACCCTGTTTCAAAGAAAAGTGAAATTTTTATTTGATAGCCAATTCAACCCCTTTTTGGTTATTATATCTCAAGCTTCCTTTTCTAACAACTATCCATATGCATTTTCAAAGTCTACTTTCAATATTAACCAACCATTAGAGCTTTTATGATAATGATCAACTATCTCATTTGTTATTAATGATGAATCAAGAAGTAGTCTTCCAGATACAAATGCAAATTGATAGTCCCCAATCGTTTCACCCATTACTTTTCTAAGTTGATTAGCTATGACTTTTGCAATAAGTTTGTAGACATAATTAACCAAGCTAATGGGTTTAAATTCTCCAATGGAACTAAGGTTTTTGATTTTAGGGATCAAGATAATAAAGCTCTCATTTACACCTCAACCAAGTTAACCAATAGAATAAAAATCAGCAATGAATTTCATTACCTTAACCTTTATCACTACCCATTGGGATTTAAGGAAACTAAAACTAAATCCATAGTGCTTTGGAGCTTTCTTGCCATCACTATCTTTGATCATATCCCAAACTTTAGATTCTAAGAAAGGCATATTCAATTCCTTTATAGAAGATTTTTTTTTAATTTATGAATACCGCATCGCAAATATGCCAACCTCATTGTGCTCCTAACATTATACAATTTATGGAAATGCTTCACTATCTCATATTTAATTTGATTTGGTTATTCAACTATTTCACCATTCACTATAATTTTCATAATACAATTAACACTACGCCTTGTTAAGGTCATGGCATGGAAATATCTTCTATTTCCATGCCCTTTCGTCACCTACTTCATTCTAGATTGCTATTTACATTTACGCTCCTCTGATCTGTATGAATTCCACAACTCATTGGATTTTCTCATCACCATATCATGTTTAGCAAACTCTACCTTATATTTTGCCATTCAGATTTCATATCTTGAATTTCTAACTCTAACAATTTAATTTTACGTGCCATATCCCCAAAAATATCTTTACTCCATTCCCAAATAATTGGACGCAAATTCTTTAACCCCCCCTAGAATGATGGACTCTGCAAATTACCCAGCTTGGAAGTCTCCTAATTATTTTTGACCAAATTATGGAATTCCTTTAAAATGATTGATTGATATTGCTTGGTAATGCTTGCTTGATGATGATGATTATTGCATACATAATGAATGCTTGATGGTACTCAATGATGGATAATGTTTGATGATATTTGAGAATAATGCTTGATGACTAATGATGCCTTGGAACTAATAAACATACATTTCTTGAAAATATGATTGTTTTGATGCATATGTTGAACATCTATTTAAATGCTCATACTCATTCAGTTCTATGAATATTTGAGTATTAGAGGATCATATTGAATATTTATAAATATTCATTTATTCTATACTCATGATTTCTCTCTTAACAATTAGTAACTTATTGATTTCACGATTTCTCTAAGGGGAAGTATGATTATGATTTAAAGTGATTATCTCCTTTATTCCTTCTCCTTGTTGTATCATATTTTGTTCATTAACAATTAGTGTTGACCTTATGATTTCTTAAGGCAGAATCAATCATTGCCACACATATGTGCAATTGTCTCATACTTTATTTCAAATTAGTGCCATTAGCATTTGGTATCTTCAACAAGAAGTTGTGGTGAGAATCCAATAATTGGTGTTCTTCATTATTCATAATATCTTTTTAACACCAAATTGATATTGTACTTTACATGGATTATATGCTTCTCGTTTATGCTTGAATGTTGAAGTCAGCAATTGATATCAAGTTTTTAATTTCATTCAAAATATTGGCATTAAGGTTTAAGCTTGTCAATTGATATCTAGCTTTAAATTGACATCAAGTTTTAAAGTTGATTCTGCTCGCTTGAGCTTAAAATTGATGATATCTTTCTTAAATGTGGTTTAGTTTTGCAGTTAACAAAGTGATATGCTTAGTATGCTTAAGGTCCTTTTAAAAAAGGGAAGCTTTTACTAGTATTTTGCAAAATTGATATAATGAGCTCTACAATTATTCTATCCCTCATAATTATTTTTGTGTTTATTTGTTTTTATAAAGGAGGAGCTTTCCTCGCAAAAGTTTGCTTCCAAAAACTTTGCAATGTAAAGTTGTTTTCTAAAACATTTTCCCCTATGCTAAGTTGCCTGTGATTTCTTTTGATGTGTAAATTACATCACCTTATATTTTATGATGTGAATCAAATCTCAAATGATTATTATAAAATCCGTTTTTGTTATGTAATGCATGACTCTACCATCGATTCAGAATTTTTAGCATCAAGTTTTTACAAAATTTTTGCAAACCTATTTGCATAGCATGAGTGCTCCACTAGTTCAATATATTTATTCTATTTTAGAGTAAAATTATACATTTTGTTCTTTAAGAGAGTGCCTTTACAAATTTTTAATTATTGAATGTACTTACCCAAACATACATAATATTTTTTTTTAATTTTTTGCCTTATAAATAAAATTAAAAAAGTAAAAAATATTAAAAGAAGACTTAATGAATTCGTGCCACCTGCACATGAATTCTAGACTCCTCCGAGTTTTTTTTTCTTAATTTTTGGATTATTTTTAGATTAAATTAAAAATATTGAAATCAAAATCTTAAGAGTATGCAAACTTATAATATGACTTCACCTGTCCAAAATCAATATGGGTGCGATGGGCTCAATCTTCGGCCACTTCCCTTCATATCTGTTATCATGTTTGGTACCAAGGGAAGAAATGGAAGAAGGAAAAGAAAAAGTTAAAAAAGAAGAAGAAAAAAGAAAAAAAAAGGGTTATTTTTCTTTTCTTTTGTTAAATATAAAAATGACCAAAACAAAAAGAGAGTTAAAATTGTAAATAAAACGGGTAATTTAAGTTTTACAGTTATTTCGTTTCCTGCCATCAAGCACAATGTAACGGTGGGTGCGACCAGAAGTGATAGTCGCAGCAAAACGCAGCGGATAAGATTACCAGAAACGATAGTTATTTGGCTGTGACATTGGCGAAGAACATGTTGTGGATTTCGTTGGGAGTGAAATTCACACCAATAGCATCGCCACTGACGCGGGAGGGCAATCGCCGTGGCTTATTCCTTCCACTTTCACCGTCTGCAGCACGCTCTTCATCCACCTGTCGTCCTTGCCGTTGTAGAAGAAGTGAAGAAGAAACGTTTCAAGTGCTGACAGCTGTTAAGACTAGATACAATGACATTCTAGTGGTCGACACTCCTAAATCCAGGATGCTACTACTCGATTCAACTCGTACGCGTTCTTTCTATTCTTGTTCGTATTTTTTTTTTGCACATTTATTACTCGATGAGAAAGTGGATTGATTCATTCCCAATGCAGATAATGTCCATAGCGTTCTACAAAAGGGTAATGAGAAATGGACTGGTTCATATTGGGTATGTGAATCCCCTTCTTTTTTTCTTCATCTTTTATCACTTTCTAATTCCAACACATACTTGATTTGCTGTGCTTGGAATCCAACAAACCATTGATTTTTGGTGAACTGTAATTGCCTAAGCTGCTGAAAATGATTATCGGGTTAGTATAAGATGCATAAGATGCTCGTATATCTCTTTTCAGTTCGTGTGGGTAATGAGAATTTTTTTTTCTTTTTTCATTACCATATTAGGACGAATTCGCAAGTTTGCCAGCTATAGTTCCTGAAGGTCCCATTGCAATCTACGGATTGGTAATGCATTTCATCTTATCTGACCTGGATTTTCTCTTGTTACATTTAACTATATAGGAACAGCTTAAATTAGTGATTTTATTGCTGAAGTTGTGCAATTATGTTATATTCTAGGGTGGTGGAACCGCTGCACATCTGATGCTGGACTCATGGCCTTCATTGCAGCTTGAAGGTTGGGAGATTGATGAAATAGTAAGGATAAACTTCCGTCGATAAGTCCATGCTTTACTTTATCCAGTTTATACTCAATATAACTGTTTTGGCAGTACAATATTTTCAATCATGACCCTTTTCCTAGTTGAAATATAATTAGCATTCTTTATCTTACCAGTTTCTTTTTAATCCTGGTCAGTAAGTCACTTCATTGACCATTAACATATTTCCGTTTTCCCTAATGACACATAGGAATGATTGCAGTTTAGAGTCTATTGCTTACTTAGAACTTCTGAAACTCTAAATGAAAGAAACGTAATATTTAATGTTGTGCATAAGATTTTAGAGAAATATTATTTCGAGATGCATGATGAACAATCTTTCTATGAATTATAAGCCTTGGTCCCATTGACTCAATTTATTTATATTCTATTGCCTTCCTTGAGTTATTGGAGCACTCTAATGGTATATTTGGATTGGTAAAAGAAAAGATTTGGAGAGAATTACATAACAGAAGTGAAAAAGAATAAAAGTCTTTTAAAGTAAAGTTCAGTTTCTTTTGTTTGTTTGAATTGAAGGGAAGTGATAAGAACAGAATTGAAACCTTATTGTTACTCTTTTTAAGATGAAAAAGTTGCCCAAATTTTAACTTAATAAAGGAGGAATCTAGGGTGTATTTTTTGGAAAATTAAGGAATGTCTTCTCTATATCCCAAGGCCAAAAAATGATGTTAGCTTGTTCCCTGCAATGTTTGTTCTTGAATTCATTAAGGAAGTTCTCTAGATGTGCTACAACCACAAAAGGTTATTGGCTTAATGGTTGAATGACATTGCATTTTGGTGAGTGGCCCCAGTTTATATTGTGAATTTCCAACTTCAAACTTGCGTTTGCCATCTTTACCCTTTCTGTTTTAATCCCATCCCGTCCTTACACACACACACACACACACACACACATACATGTACATACATACATACATACATACATACATACAAACATGGACACATAAGCACTCACGCACGCACACACACTCACACACACATACACAAAGTTCGTTCTAGATATGAAAGGTTTTGAAGTTTTAGGTTCTAATGATCATTTGCCAATACCTTGTGTGTAGCAAATAGACATGACACATGTGCATGGCTAAAAGGATCAGTTTTCATCTTCTTTCATATTATTCTCTAGTTGGCCCTGAAATTTCTACCCAAGATTATAGGATTTTAGGTGTTCTAGGATGTAGAGGACAAGATAAGCAAGCAGAAAGGAAAAGGTTTTATGACAAGTGACTGTTATTTCTAGATAGGGATGCCCTAGCTCCAACCACAATAAATCATGCACCTCTTTTTAAGTGTGTTGATATATTTCTTGAACAAAACGCAAAAAGAAAAGAAAACTATCCTTTAGGGTTCTTTTTACACTTTCGGTTATATTTGAATTGTTTTTGAATGCATCAAACTCAAGTTTTACATGTTTCATTTAATTTCATAGATAAGTCATTAAACTACTAAATAACTACAATTATATATATATATATATATATATATATATATATATATTAGAATGTTGACTCTCTATGAAACCTGGAAACAACAGGAATAGAAGCAGCTCTGTTTCTTATCTTTCTTTTGACTCCCTTGAATAGGGATCTATTTATGTAATAAATATGCATCATAATTCGATCTCCTTCATTCCATAACACTTAAGGTAATTAATTAAGTGGGATTTGGTTTGGCAAGCACTAGGAGGCATCTAGTGTTTTGCATCTATATTTATTAATAATCTCTTCAGAGGTGTAAATATCTAAACCAAAATCATGTCTTGAACAATGAGTATCCCAATTTCAAATCATTTCTGATGGATTCTTATTATATCTTTTTTGGATAATAGTTAATTGATAAAGCTAGAGAATATTTTGAGCTATCCAATCTTGAGAGGTGTAATGAAGTTGGTGGTAGGCTTCAAGTTCATATTGATGATGCTTTTTCGTCTATACAAAATCTTCCTAAAGGCTATGCCGGTGAGATTTCTGTCTCAATTTTATGCATAAATATGCAAATTTGACTTTCTAAGATCATGACACACACACACACGCACACACACTGAGTTTCTCCTGGATAGATGGTTGCATAAACACACAACTTTCATTGCCTTCTATGTCTCCTGGACGTATGCTGGTGGAGGCTTTGTTGCTCATGTACTTTACTTTGTTGATCTCGAAAAGGCTATTAAAATCTGGCTTCATCTTTTTATGCCAGTTAGTAGCTACATTTTCAGCGCATCGTTATTCTTTTTTATAACTCATGAAAGATTAATTCAGGCATCATAATCGACTTGTTCTCTGATGGAAAGGTTTTGTCACAGTTGCAAGAGGTATGTACTATGTACCCAATTTTGCAAAACAGTTAGGGTAATTAAATTTGGATTTTATTTATAGAGTTAGTTGAGGGAAAATAGGTTGGGTTTGTATAGAGTTTGATGGGCTTGAAGCAGAATGCAAAAAAATAAGGGATAAATGGCTGTTCTGGTACTGTGAGTAGCACCTGTGAACAATAACTTTGGATTTGCATTTTGGCTTTGATTGATCTGGGTGTAATTTGGAGTTTTAGAAAGAGGAGTGAAGGGTTTAGGAGATGATTTCATATTGAATTCCTAGTGAAAAGTATGACAATTGAATAAACAATCAAAGGTGAAGAAATCACAAAGCTTATGCCTAGGGTCCTTTATTCACCACGTGAGGTTCACTGCTTCATACAACATCAGAGCAATTCTGTTTTTCTATGGAATGAATAATCAAATATGCACAGACTTTAGCATTCTTAGTCCAACAAGGGCTATATCAAAGGACTTATCTGGTAGGAAGCGAATGAAACTGACTTAAAGGAACTTTAACCTATAGATTAAAAAGTTGTTAGCTTAAGGAAAACTTAAAATAAGACTCCTAGACTCAAAATTTCTAATTTTCAGCAAATGAGGAAATTACCATAATATCTGTCACTTAAAATATAAGAAAAACATAAAAATAAAATACATCCTACAACCATCAATCTAATGAACATACAAAAAGGAATTCATACTATTTTTTCTAGCATATATATTGCCGTAAATTAGTCCCAACATAAAAAAAAAAAATCATAATTGATATATTATGGGAAGTCAAACTTCACAATTTTATACATCTGTATCATCCAAGTCTACCCCTCTCTGTCACTTGAGTATGTTATGCCCAAGGTTGTCATAGCATTTCACAGTTAGTAGACACAGAATCGTTCCATATAATGTTTTATTCTCTTCATCTGCTATTGCACACTTTTCTGCAATTATTTAAGCCAACATTATCTGTGTTTGTACCTTAATAAGTTGTTATGATCCTAGTGTCCCAAGTTTTGGCATCGACAAAGCCCTATTCTCCTTCCTTTCTTAGAAGACGCTATCTTTTGAAGAAAGATAGAAACACCTCACTACAAGAAATATCAAGAAGTAGAGTTCTGAATACTTTGGAGATAAAAGTGTTTAAAAAGATTTGTATATATTTTACAACTTATGGCATTCAAGTTTGTTAAGTCTAATTCTCCTGTTAAAAGGAGCTGCAATTTCTGAATTCACTTTCCTACTTTAATTTGCTTTCAAAACGTTGTGTGCATAAAACCTAAATGCACTTTCTAACTTGTACCTAGTGCTAACTTGTTTGTAGTTATCATTTACATGTTTCATGACTGTCTTTGACAGTTGCCATATGGTGTACAATTGCTTTTGACAGGTTGAAACATGGTTGAACTTAAGTGATAGATTGATGCCTGATGGTCGCCTTATGGTGAATTGTGGCGGTGTAAGCGAATCATCTATGGATGGAAAAATACACCATCAATCAGTTGATGACACTTGGATACAGAATTCTACCATCAAGGCATTAGCTGTAGCATTTCCTGGACAAGTATGGTGTTTCTCTTTTACTCTTTTAATTTTTTTAGTGTAAAAATTATATTTATGTGATAATTGATATTGTGTTTTGAGTGAAAATGGGCAGATGATGTTATTGTCAGGAAACAGTTTAGCAAAATAGTTGAATAGTTTAATGCTAATGAAAGTTGGACCTAGCTGTGATATGTAGCTTATGTTTGTTGTTATTTCCACTTCATTATTGAATACCCCTGATAAGTAAGCCCTTAAATATTTGGGTTAATACATGGAACCTAAGATTGAAATGGAGACCAAGCATGAAGATACAAATGGAATCACGAAATAAAAAAGTCAACTAAAGACAGAAATAAAACAAAACCACATTGAAGTCAAAGGTCCGATCATGTATATGTTGCTCATATTAGTAAAGTTTTCGCAATATAGGTTATTACTCAGCCTTAAACACACCCACTTTTGTCCTGTATAAGTGGATTAGCACATGGATCCTGAAACTGAAATGAAAGCCTAAATTGAAACAAGAAGCTGAACTGAAGAGAAATTAACTTGATGGAAACCAAAGTACGACATAGGTTTTAGTTTTCTTGACATTGGAGACTATGATGCCTTGCTATGAAACTTTTAATATCTTGGAGTTTTAAATAGGACATAGACCTAACTATGTAAATATAAAGTGAAGTTGTTAATCTTGATATGTTTTTCTTTAGTTAATGGTTAGTGCTGTATTTTCATTTTATTAAATGGTCATGTGACTAGCGTGTGATCTTTTAACGAGTTTGAATGCCTAGGATTATATATTTTTTACTCTTTTGGTGTACTTTTTATTGTTTCTACTCCCACTTTGGTTCACTTGAGTGACTTTTTTCATCTATGCTAGAAAGCCATTAACCCCAATATCAAGCTGGTAGATAACAAAGCTAACCATGTCATAGTCCATCATAACTCCGTCATAACTAACTACTTGAAATTGAAATAATATGAAGTACTACACCCTATATCCTAACATAAATGAAAATGTAAAATATCATATATAACCCTCATGCCCTGATACTTTGAAAATAAGCGAAACACAAATTATGTAAATCTAGAGGATCCTAAAATAATTACAACTAAAACTATAAAATATAGCAGTGTAATAAAAGCAGCTTTTTCTAACTTGCACTATTCTCCTCTTGTTGGTGAACTGAAATTTGTGTTTTCAAATGTTGGAACCAAACCATGTGTGAAAGTTGTTCCAGCAGAACCATTAAATAGCACTTTTTAACAACGAATATCTTTTGTGAAACAAACATTGTCAATCCTGGACAAACTTGACATAATGAAGTCAAATGGAAAATTTTTCACCCGATATCTCATTTGCTATGGGAGACTTGGACTTGATTTCTAGATATGGTAGGGTAAAGTCAATTGAAGAATTTTCACTAGGTAGCACTTCACTAAAGTCTGTAGGTGCTTGGGCAATCAAAAACTCAGTCCTTAATTTCAAGTACAACCTGAGAATTAACCTTTTCAATTTAAAAAACTTAGTTGTGCCTCCAAATCTTTTTATATCGTCTTTCTTGCTTCTTAACTTTTGATTCTTCAATGGCATTTTCCTCTTCATCCTCCTCGCCTTTAACAACTACGGCAGATGTTACTTTACTTCTTTAAACTTCTTGAATCTCCTCAACAATAACCATAAACTTCTCACGATGATCTGATCTTAGCTTCAAATAAACTTTCACTCTACCAAATTTAAAGGAACTAGATTTAGACCATGGAGCCAAATTTTCTTGCAAGTCTTCCTCATAACATGCTGGCATTTTCCTGGCAGTGTCTCATTGTAGCGTATAGTTTTTCACAAAGATGCTAATAGAATGTTGATCGTATATAGCACACGATAAAGCAACCCATCCAAATGCAAATAAGCATCATAAATTTCATCTTCAAGGGTTTGTTCAGCACAATGTTGAGATTGAAAATCATCTTTCTTTTTTCTAGCTCAGCAAAATTTTCCTGCTTAGCAAAGAGAGGAATTCTATTTTCATTTTATTTTCAATTGTGGAGGAGGTAGATCTATTAGGAAGCGTAGAGCATCCATCAAAGCTAAAGGCCAAATCTGGCTTTCTACAGGGTGAGGGAGGAGAAAGAAAGAGGCATCAAGGGAAAGGGAAGCTGTTGTTAGCCACTGGATCTAATGATAGCTAGCTAGATCAATGGCTTCTTGGTGTTGATTAGCTAGCCAAAAAACCAGACTGCTGTTGGTTAGTGGGCGACACATGAGTTAAAGGGGAAATGGAAAAAGGCATAAAGGAAAAAATAAAAGGGAAGAAAGGAATGGAGAGAAAAGGCGATGATAAAAGAGAATCATAGAATTACAAATAATAAATGAAAGTAACATATAGAAGTTGCATGTTGCACGTGACTAAGAAAGCCATGTCTCAATTTTTTGCTATTAATTCTACTCAAACATGATATCATATCATGTCATCATAAGATTTTATTTTTTAAATGCCACACCATCCACATGTCAACAGGTATGTACACCTCTTATGTCTTTATGGAAAAACAAACGTTGAAAAATTTTACTAACATAACTTGCCATTAACTCTGTCTACAAACTCGAACATGTAAGCTTTTAGCTTGATGGAATAGTCTATGCTCCTTAATCAAACTGAAATATGAAAGGATGAGGAGGAAATTGCTCAAAATTTGAATAGAGGGACTAATTTTAACATTTCAACCTAGGACAGCGACAGTACTTCAACCAAAGAAATAAGCTAGGAAAATTGAGTTCTTAGGTTTACTAGTAAACCAAAATACTAGGGGTTTCAAACATTTCAATAATCGTGTAATATCATTTATTTAGTTGACTTGGTTGTGTTATAACATCATAAGCTTTTCAATGCATCATGATTGTCTTTCCACTTCACTGTAATTTGTAAAAGTAGTGTACCCATCAAAGTTCCAAAAAGCCTTCGTCTTATACTTAAGAGAAAGTGTCTAGTGTGGACTTTATTACCTAGATTCCTTTTTTTCCTTTATGGTTCCAAATGGCAGTTTCAGACTACTGCTGTAAATGGCAGTCAAATAGCATGAAATAAACTTAAACAGTTGAATATCTTGTTTGCTAAAAGAAAATTGTTGCACAATTCACTAGGCTATATGTCAGATGAGGAATCCCTAACCACTGAAAATGCATGCATTTTCTAGTTAATTTATTTCTGCATTTTTAAACTATTTAGCCAATTGACAAGTTATAATTTTTTTGGTGGTAAAATCTATTTGACACTAACTCTTCGATGGAAGAAATCTGATGGTTTGAAATCTTTTGATACAGGTACATTGGAAGAGAACGCCGGAAAGTCAAGGACAAAATTATCTTGCACTAACTGGACCTTTGCCAGATTTAACCTCATGGTCGGCTACAGTCCCAGGTTGTCTAAGCGAAGCTGTGAAACAATGGAGGACTTGTAAGACTTTTCCATGATAAATGCCATTAACCCTTTGCCTTGTTCATTTGTATGCTTCAAACCATGATAGGCCTTTCCTAATGAGAAAACTCTGCACTGGTTACAAATCCGCTATGGATGTTGGTATCATAGTTCTGGTTTGTTTTCCTCTCGTCCGCTTGTTTGTTATCGTTTTAGAGTTGAGAAATATCAAAATTAAAGTTGAAGATGAGGATCAGGCTCTTTTACTCGTTTTCTCGTATGAGCATTTGGTATTATACACACGTTATATGCTAGCCCTTGACACATTTGCCTCAAAGTCATACATCAGTAGGATATGGCGCCTGGTGTGGACAGGTAAAGGAGTCGTCACTCAGATTTATTAAGGAGCGTTAGAACTCATACTTGTAACTGGATCGCTCGCAAAAGATCTAACTTCAATTACAGATGGTCCGAAGGCTGGGTATAGAAATGGTAGGTGTTAGGCACCCATTCGTCCCGGCAGAGTTTGGCCTCTACTATTGTGCAGCAAACGATACAGAAATTGAAAAAAACAAAGAAAAAAATTAAATATATTTTTTGTAAACAATTTTATATAATAGGTATGGTTGTGTGGATACAACCAGAGATCATGTATAGCAATTGCAACATAACAATAAAAAATGGCATGGCCTAGGTCATGAATTTCTTAATAAAAATAATAAATGTAAAATCCCACAATTATAAAAGCCCTTTAAAAGAGTCTATGATGTCCACAAGGAAAATAAAATAAATGTAGTATATGACGCATATAAAAAAATTCAAAATGAACAATAAATCTATAAAATAAAAACCAGAACTAGAATAAAGCCTAAGTTGCAAATATAACAAAAATAAAGCAAACAAAATTGAAATGAAATATAGAAAACAAGATTTTTTCAAGCTTTTTGAAAAGACTGTTGAAATATAACTTAATCAAAACATAAAAAAGTTTCAAGAAATTTGAAATCATGAGAAAATCCAAATCAGAAGAAAGCTTCATATAAAATTAAAGAAGCTTTAAAACATGTTTTTGAGAACCACTTTTATTTAAATAACAATAAAGGCAAAAGACATAAATTCGACATATTAGAGGTCTTTTCGCTTGTATATTTTCTTAAACACTCAAATCCTTGAGAGAAAGAGAAGTACTTTAGCTTTTAAAATGTATTATTTAGAGGTTCTATCTACCTCTCGCTTAACCTTCTAAAGATTGTTTAGACGTTCTATATAAATTTTAAAAGATAGAGAGGTTATACCAAAACTTTTCAAAAGGTAATTGTATTGATTGAAATTCAATAGTGAATTCAACTCCTTAACTGACTAAAGGAAAGAACATAGGCCCGAAGAGGAAGGGGTGAACCTCTATAAATCAAGTTTGTCATTCTCTTTAAACTTCATCTTGTATCTTTATTGCATCTATTTTCAATTAAATATTTATTAAACTATTAATCATCTTAATATACAACATATTGCTTTTAAAAGTTTATTTTTTAAAGATTTTTTGAAATCCAATCCACCACTCTTGTGGGACTATATATTCTAATTGAGCTAACAATAACCATATCTTGAATAATCATTTATAAATCTTATGATATGGGAAAATCCTCTAACATTTACATTCAATGGACCACATACATATGTATATACAAGACCTAGTAATGAACTAACTCTTTCGCCTATTCTTGCAAAAGGCATTTTGGTCATCTTACCAAGTAAGCAAGATTCGTAAGTTCCATATCAGTCATCATCGAAAGGATCTAGGTATCCTTCCTTATGAAGTTTTGTGACTCTTTTTTTTTTTTCTTTTGATATGACCAATTCTACAAGGCTAGATATAGAACTGAGTTAGACCATCTAATTTAGCTTTTTTGACTATAACATTGAGCATTTGTTTCTCATGTTTTAGGACTTACTATTAGAAATGTTAACTCAATCATAATGAAGAGTAATCCAAATGAGGTGACTCTTGGACCAATAGAATTATAAGAAGAAGGGCTACAATGTTTATGTTCATCAATTTTCCCAATTCTGATTGGATCAGAGTCAAAATATTTGTCAAATTCGGACCACTGCAGCAGTATGTAAAGACTGAACATGATGCGGTATTTAGAGCAAATCTTTCAATCCAGAAGTCCAATTGATGTGATTCTTAATCCATTGGAAAGTTAAGAGACAGGGATAAAACTTTTATGTTTACTACTTCCTAACATATCATGGTAAAACTCACGTTTGAAGTTGATAAACTGCCACAGTGCTGGGAGAACAAGGCTGCAGCGTTGATGAAAGGAAGCGCACATACAAATTTCTAGAGAGCTCAGCGCTGCAGCTCTGGATAAGTAGCGCCGCAGCGCTGGGCGACTTTCCAAAAAATAAGGGAAGTTAACGGGA